TCACCCGCTTTGGTTTAGTGGCCCCCCTTGGGCACATTTGGATGTCGCGCAGTGGCCTGCTGTTCCTTTTAATCCTTCCGTAGAGCCTGAGGCGCCGGAAGAAAAGAAACAGACTTTTCTCGCCGCTACTTTAAATGAAAAATCTCCTATATTATCACTAGGAGATCGTATCTCATCTTGGTCTAAACTATTGCGCAGTATAGTTTTCGTTTGTCGATTTGTAAAATTGTTACCTCACAGATATCGCATGTCAGCATCGGATTATGAGTTCGCTGAGTTATTAATTCTTCGTGAACTTCAACGGTTTTATTTTCGCGCTGAGATCGCGAAGCTCGAGGAAGGTCAAGTTTGTACCCCTGCATTTCGACACTTAAAACCATTTCTTATAGATGGACTAATTAGAGTAGGGGGACGTTTAAGAAACTCTGACTTGAGCTACGACGAGAAATTTTGCTTCCGAGAAAAGATCCGATCTTGAATTTACTTGTCGAATATCATCATAAATTAAATTGTCACGCCGGTCCTGACCTGCTGATGGCGCGCTTACGTCAGAAGTATTGGATACTTTCTTCTCGTAATTTAATTAGGAATAGGATACACAAATGCATGCCTTGCGTTCGACTTCGTCCTAAGCCAAGATTCCCTGAAATGGCGGATCATCGTTCTTGTCGTGTCGTCCAATCCGCTAAACCCTTCATTCACACGGGTACAGATTATGCTGGCCCTTGCAAGGTTACCATAACACGTGGGCGAGGTATTCGTTCTACCAAAGCTTACGTGTGTTTATTTGTTTGCATGACTACGCGCGCAGTACATATAGAACTGGCTGGTGATTTAAGCACAGCTAGTTTCATGGGAGCCTTCAAGCGGTTCCTATCTAGACGGGGCCCGGTGGGTAGAATTTATTCGGACAATGGAACGAATTATATAGGTGCTAAACGCAAGCTTTCAGAACTTCATGAATTTCTTTGTTCAAAGTATCATAATACAGAGTTTGGTCACGTCTTAGCTGAAAATCGCATTGATTGGTCCCTAAATGTACCGACAGCTAGCCATTTTGGCGGGAATTGGGAGGCTAATATCAAAAGCTTAAAGTCTCATCTATATCGCGTTATAGGTGATACAATTCTTTCATTTGAAGAGCTATGTACTGTTCTCACTCAGATCGAATCGGTAATGAATACACGACCTTTATGTAGAACACTCTCTAGTGATCCTTCAGAACCGCTTGCCTTAACTCCTGCGCATTTTTTGAATCTCACGCCTTTGAAATGCTTGCCTGCGGAAGAAATCGATGAAAATTTAACTACTCTTGCTAGACACGATTTGCTAGACAAATTAGTTCAATCGTTTTGGAAGCGCTGGAGACGGGAATACCTTCATACGTTGCAATCACGCCGCAAATGGAACACGCCGGTCGATTCAGTCGTCGTCGGCTCGGTGGTGATTCTGATTAACGATAATTCGCCTCCTCTACACTGGCCTTTGGGTGTCGTGGAAGAAGTGTTTCCGGACTCTACGGGAGTTACACGCATTACACGGGTTAAGACAGCGATCGGATCGTATTTGCGTCCCGTGGTGCGACTCTGCCCACTGCCCAACCAGTAGCTCATTAGATTTTTCATATTATTTAGGTTAGTTGTATATAAATATAGTATAGATTCTTAATTCTTGTAGGAACATAATGTAATAGTAGATAAACGTAGCGTACTTATTTGGATTTATTGTTATTCGTTTGTTAGATAATACAACTTTGAAGGCGTCCCTTCAAGCCCGGGGGAATGGTTGCGCTGGTTTAAAACTTAGTTAGTTTTAGGTTTCGAAAAATAGCAACATTTTAATTTGGTTTTGCAAATCCTGTCCCATCCCTCTCCGGCACTTTACCTACGGACGCGTGCGAGCGAGATCGTGTGGTGACATCGAGACAAAAAATATGGCTGAACAACCGCGCGCGCGCTTCGTATCTTTGTTATGTTAAATACGTAAATAAGTGAAATCGTTGGTGTTTCTCATCGCGAAGTGGTACGAGTCTGCAGTAAGGACTACATAAAGGTATTGTGCATCCTTCCTTTAACGCAGAACTGCCGCTTCTTATCGTTTCTTCCCGCAGTCTGTGTCCTTCATTTGCAACGACCAAATTTCAAATATTTTCGTAATTTGCTTATCTCGCGTCTACAATCACATAAGCAAAATATGAGTTAAGTAGGTAAATAAAATAAGGAGTTTCAAAAGTCTAACCTCGTACTATTTACTTTTTTAGTAAAAAAAATTATCAAAATTAACAAAATCAAATTTAATCATTCCTCTTCAAAATAAAGAATACTATCTGCATTACAATAACAGTGCTCACTGCTCGGTTCCAACTTATATACCCATATTAGCTGGACAACTGATAACTGTTAGGTGTTACATGTTCTTGAGTCGAAACTGCAAAGTGGTGGAGTGATGATCTGTGCAGGGTGGCTGGCAGGAGCTGGATGAGGGAAACCGAGGATTGTGCTCAGTAGCGAGCAATTGGAGAGGTCTATGTCCAGCAGTGGACTGCTGTAGGTTGATGTTACTCATATGCAGAATTTTTAATTGAAATACCTAGAAATAAAAGCCGATCGTATAATACTCCCTCTGGAAGAGTCCTGAGTATTAGGTACTGGGACATTTTCTATCTCAATTTCAGGGTTCAGTTCAGGTTCATTGGTCATTAAACAAATGTTGTGTAGGACAGCACAAGAGACTATAATATTGCATGAATTTTTGTGTACTGTACAAAAGTCTCTTTAATACACCATTTACACGATCAATAACGTTTCTTGTCAACACACGTGCTCGAGTGTATCTGTGTTCTGGGTCTGTTTGAGGATTCAGTACAGGAGTGTACATAAAGCCAGTCTGCGCATAACCGCTGTCTCCGACAAGAATGCCAACCAAATCGCCTTCTTCAAATCTCAAACAGCATCTGCTGTTGCTAAATACGCGCGAATCATACACAGATCCAGGCGATCGCACAACAATGTCATATATTTCCATTTGCAGTCCACATACTATTTGGACATTGATAGAAAACCAGCCTTTTCTATTACGAAAGATTTCTCCCCTTGTTCTGGATTGATTTTTTATTGGAATGTGTGTGCAATCAATACATCCAATTACACCTGGAAACCCTGCAATTCGGTAGAATTTTCTTTTAGTTTCAACCCTTTCATTTGATCCAGGGTATTTAATAAATTGCCTAGATTTCAAAGCCAATCTCTTAGAAATGTTAGATACCGTTTTTGATACTACGGATTGAGAAATTTTGTGCAAGTCGCCACAAGCAATCTGAAAAATAATCATACCACATGAAACAATCTGCCGATACTTTCAGCTATTTCTGCCAGTGTCGTGTTATGGCTACACATAGAACATTGTCGAGGTATTTAAACACATTGGCAATATTATTATACCTAGTCAGGTCATAAATTCTGTCACATGTTTAATGTAAAATAATTGAAACAAGTTTATTCATTACGTCAAACGGGGTTAATAGGAATCGAGGGGTGAATGGGGATAAAATTGGGATTGAAATATTCGTATCAATAACTCTGAAAATCTACTAACCATAGCTTAAAAAATTGCAAAAATGTATAGGAGAATAGTTATTTTTTGAATTGGCAGCACCTATTTGATATGAAAGTAGAAATAAATTGTCAAAACAACATTTTGAAGTTGCTTGTTTGAAAGTGCACTAGAAGTTCATCAATTACTCGATCGATTTAAACATAGTTTTTGTGATTTTTGTATCGAAACAACTATATTAACGAGGTCCATGTTTATTCTGGAGTCTGGATATCATAATGTAAGTACAATTGAAAGGCTTTTAAAATCATAAAATTACATTTTATTAAGACTCATAATTTTTTAACATATTAAGAGGTTTTTCGATACGCCTGGGGGGTCCTTAGGTATGGTTGGAGGATCTATTGAGATGGGGTATTTAATAAATAGGGACGACACAGTATGTCAAGAGACAGTAAAGGGACTATAGGGACAGGATTGTCACTTGATTTTTGAAGTACCAATTACTTATTGGTGATGTAATTATGAACATTTTAAAGTTATGGTCCAAGACGCAAAAGTAATGTGGTAAAATTTTACAGCTCTTAGCTATTTATTCGTGTTTAAGTCTGTGCCATTGTAGCTCCCAAATAGGTGGATCCATTTCGATGCGTGAAAGAATTTAATAATGTGTCGGGAGATTTTTAAAATTACGTCGGCACCTATTTTATTAAGTTTATTTTTTTTCAGATTCCTAACTTACAATATTGCCGCGTACATACAAACCAAGCGGAGGAAAAAATTATAAAAGATATTATGAGCTACTCATAGAACAGGCACTAAATGAGTACAACAGTACTAATCAATCGTTAATGGATATAGCACAGAAATATAAAATCTCCAAATCAGTCCTTCATAGACACAATACTTATGTCATGAAAAAGCCAGGTGGCCAAGCAGCATTCGCTCCGGACGTAGAGGAATACCTCATACAATATATAAATATATGTTCTGAATGGGGATATCCCCTTGAAACAATAGACTTCCGATTATTAATAAAAGGATACTTAGAAAATTTAGGATTAGAGATAAAAAGATTCAAAAATAATATGCCTGGTCCTGACTACATAAAATCTTTTTTGAAACGACATAAACTTACAATTACCAGTAGATTGAGCAAAAATATAAAACGTTCAAGAGCAGCAGTTTCGCCAGAGGTGATAAAGGCATATTTCGATGAACTAGAAATATCACTACAAGGAATTCCTTTAGGTAACATTGTCAACTATGATGAAACTAATTTGGTTGATGACCCCGGTAGAAAAAGAGTTTTAGTTAAAAGGAGTGTCAAGTATCCAGAGCGCATTATGAATCACACAAAAGTTTCAACCTCTATTATGATGGCTGCAGCTGCAAATGGAACCTTACTGCCACCATTTGTGGTATATAAGGCACAACATGTCTATGATACATGGAGACAAAATGGCCCAAAAGGTTCTCGTTATAATAGTACCAGTTCTGGTTGGTTTGATGGATTCACATTTGAAGACTGGGTGAGGACTATTGTATTCGATTATTTTGAAGATAAAACTGGTACGAAAATTCTTATAGGTGATAATCTCGCCTCTCACCTTTCAATAGAAATAATAAAGGAATGTGAAACACGTAATATTAGGTTCATTTTTTACCGGCCAACTCTACGCATCTTACCCAACCATTAGACGTAGCTTTCGTCGGGCCGTTGAAAAGTGCTTGGCGGCACATACTTTATAATTGGAAAAAGACCGACGGGAGAATGCAAGCTACTATACCCAAAAATATATTTCCGTCGCTACTTAAAAAACTTATGAAAGAAATAGATATCAACGTCAGTAAAAATATTATAGCTGGGTTTAAAAAATGCGGCATAAGTCCGATAAATAGAAATAACGTTTTAGATAGATTGCCAAATATTCATCCAGAAGCCAGAAATGAAAACTTCAAAGATTCAATTGATCAAACGGTTCTTTCTATGCTCAAAGAAATGAGGTATGGCACAGGAAGCTTTAAAAATTCGTACAAAAAAAGAAAATCGATGTTATTCCTGGAAGAAGTGTAGAAAATGTAATCTTGAGAGAAGAATCAGAAAAGCTTTATAAAACAAATGAATCATGTGACGATGAGAGTAATACAGAAGAAATTCTGGATAATAATTTAAACATATTAGAAAGAACTGGCCTCAGCAACGTCAGAAAAGCTGATAGTAAGTTTGCGAAAATGAAACAAAATAAAAAGACACCAAAAATAAATAGGGACCAAAGGAAAAAAGTTATTCTCGAAATAATGAATTTGGCACAGAAACTGAAAACGAAAAAGCTCCAAGTCAAGAACTGAAGAAGTAAAAGGAAAAAAACCGACAATCTGTCGCTTATAAAAAAAAACTATAGTAAAAACAGAAACAGTAAGTGACATGAAAAAAGATAACAAAGCAGATATACGTAAAGATAGTACAAAAATAAACGTGCCCAACATAATAGAAAAGTCAGAACCGATATTTAAGAAACCATTTGCTCCACCACTAAGTAATAATAATAATAATCAGCTAGTTGATGACACCATAAAACAAAGCGATTATGCAATGGATTTTAATATCGAGTGTATGGATCTGGATATCTACACTGCCTGTAGTTTTCGACAATTTTTTTACTATTAACGGAGAATTGGAATTATCTTCCTTTACGACACTGGAGCAGGAGAAGAATGAAGTGCAAGATAATAAAGAAAACATTAACGTGAAAAAAAGACTACTTGAAAAGAAGCCAGACTCTCCAAATAAAAGAATTAAGATAATATCAGACAAAATTATATCTAGTAGTAAGCCAAAGATTAAAATTAATAAATTGAATAAGATAAACTTACCCGATAAGCTTGTCATTGAAAGAAAAAAGCCAAAATTTTATAAAAATGAAACAGAAATATTAAATGACCTCATGGATGACAATTTATAATTACATGAGTCAAGTGTGACATTTTTTAGATGTTGATTTCAAAGTCTTTTTTAATTGTATAATTTAATTGTTACAAGAGCCTGTTTTTAGTGCAACTAATATTCTGATTTTTATATAAAGAGAAAACTGATTTTAAGATACAAAAATGTGATTCAGAACTCCCTATAATTATGACTGATTACTTTTATATTTGTATTAATTAATTATTACAAGAGCCTGTTTTTAGTTTAACCAAGGACTATTCTGATTGAAAATCTGATATTAAAGAGAGAACTAATAATTTTTAGATAAAAAATGTGATTACCTATAAGTATGACAGTCATTTCTATTATTATTAAAATATATGTAGGTATATAAATTATAATATTGTTCATAAAATACTAGTTTTTATTCAAAGCATTCCTACTTACCTACATGTCTACTTAGATTATTTCACTCTTAATATTAAATACCTAGGTATTTATCTTACCAAAATTGTGACAGCCCTAGCAGTTTTTCCCTATAATGCCAATTATCGTAGGTACCTAATAGCCTCATTTCGTGTTTAAATAGGGATGACCTATAATTTGAAGAAAAGAGGATGGCCCAAAGCGGACAATAGATTATAGAAAAAAAACTTAGTGCATTAATTTTGTCATAAATAAATATGCATTTACTTTCTTGCAAATAAGCGCCACTATAGTTTACAATAAGTAGTTTAAAAAAAGTAACTCTATTGAAAAAACAAGGATTTTTATTTTTGCGGGAAAAATATTGCCAGCTTCAAATCCTTTTACGTATGAAGTAAATATTTTGAGTATATAAATAAAACATATAAATAAATCATTTTAAGTATTATCATTAATCAAACGATTTTAATGGATTTTATGCACATAAAATAACATCGAAGACATACCCATTGGACTTTAACTTGTAACTATACTTGAGACCTTAGAACTTATATCTCAAGGTGGGTGGCGCATTTACGTTGTAGATGTATGTGGGCTCGAGTAACCACTTAGCAACACCAGGGTGGCTGTGAGCTCGCCCACCCATCTAAGCAATAAAAAAAACTTTACTAGTATTGTTATTTAAATATGTACAACTAAAACAAAAACATAAAAAATAATGTGTACTCGTAAAAAAAAGATTAAGATATAAATCAATTATCGGTTATTTAAAAAAATAATCGATATATGAATTTCATGTAATTATTTTTCTTTATACTGACAACACTGAATTTAATCTGACTGACTGATACTTCGCTTGCTGCTTGTGGTGTTGTGCTTGCGTACAAAATGGATGTGTTTTGATTTTTCTTCGATTTATTTTACTTTTATCAATAACGTTTCATACTACGACTAAAAAACATTGTGTGAATTGTGGTTTTACCCTGACCGAGATTTAAAACCGTGTATATGCTCTCCTTTGCTATTTTTAGATGATACTAATTGTGTATGAAGATGAAGAAAATATAGATATTTAAAGAATTAAGTGTGTTTTTTATACCCTATTCAATAAAAATAAATTAGGAACATCTTAAACATTAAGAAAAGAAAAGTTCTTGAAGTATCTCACAATCCGACACTTATTTATGTAGAAAATTAACCTCAAAACGAGTTTTTATTTTTATTATATTTTTTATAATAGTGGCGTCAATTTCAATATATTTTTTAGATATCCAATACATTTAAGAATTTGAATCAGTACATTTTTATAGTAATATTTGATGTCCATCTTGGGCCTAGCACACTATGGAGAGTGGGCAATCCCCTTTGAAAACTGGATGCTTTACATGATTCGTGTAAAGTCCTTAAGAATGTTCAGGATGCGACTCAAATTTTGATACCAATATCAATATATTATTTTCAGGCATAACTAGTGATAAATGAATTCAAAGTTCAATTCCGTGCCCATTCACCCCGTTTGACTGTATGTAACCATTCATATACCAAAATGAACTTAACAAAACATAGATTCTTATGACACTAAAGTTTATTCAAAATGACCTCCGTGATTTTGAATACAGGCCTTCAATCTGCGCGGCCAGTCGTCTATCGCAGCACGAACGAGGTCCATGTCAATATCGGCGGCTGCCTTAATCAAGGATGTCTTGAATGACTCCAAATTGGGATGAGGCTTTGAGCACGCCTTTTCTTCCAAGTGTTGCCATATCTTGTAATCTAACGGATTCAAATCTGGACTGGAGGAGGGCCAGTCTTCGTGCCGGATGAAGTCGATTTCACGCGCCGCCAGTCAGTCTTGTGTGCTCTTCGCTCTATGAGCTGGCGCCGAATCTTGTTGGAATACCCAGTGCCTGTTATTGAACATGGTATGAGAAACAGGTTCCACAAGGTTCGCCAGGACTGTATTTTGATACACAACTGCATTCGTTTTTACACCTTTCTCACAAAAATGTACCTCTGTTAAGCCCCAATAAGAAACTCCCAACCATACCATGAGCGAGGATGGAAAATGACCTCGTTGGACACGCGGAATACGGTTGCTCGCTTCTTCACTACTGTGTGCGTACACCTTATCATTTTGTTTGTTGTAGCTCTCTTCTACGGTAAAAA